GGCTTTCGCCTCAACCATGCACCTATTGCGTGGATTGAATACTCTAATGTTTCTTGTATGCATATAGCCCATGCAAGAGCATGGTTATTTTCGTATGAATTGAACTGTGCCGCTACTGAGACAGTTTCTCGGAGCAGCAGAAATATACCTATTGGGCACAACCAATTAACTCCTCATTAGCGCTCGTGTGTGACGTATGCGAATACTCAGTGCATAAACCGACACTAAGCACATCGTGTTTCGTCGTTGTAATGTGGCGATCGCCAACTATATATTCTCTCATGGTTGGTTCTTTTTGACCTTTGGCAATCCTTTGCTCTCAGGATATTACGAAACCATTCTTTCTTGTTCGGTTCCCGGCCTGCGGGTTACGCATCAGTACACGTATGTATGGGGGATTTATGCACGATGTTGTTAATGTCTTACCTCCAATCCATCATACAGTTGAACACGCGGTCATTCGGCTGTGTTTCTTCTAGATGCACACTTCGTTGCGCTGCTGGGTTCGAGCAGACAACCTGACATTTTTCAGCCATCTGCCTGCTTTTCTTCCTATGTCGGGCTTTATTTTGCGCCTCGTGTTCAGTAAGATACAACCCTGGTAGCGCCTTTCCCGCTTGTGCCCATGATTGCACCCTATTGGTTCTGAGACAAGAATACGACTAACATAGAAATATTCCGTCCCTTTGGGACGGAAAAACACCTCTACCTCCACGTTCTGGTTGTCCATTCCGAGTGTCGAGGCTAAACCATTGACTCCGCTTACACGCCGCACCCAGCTCATTTGCCTCTTGCAGCTCTGCTATATCATCATAATTTTGCGCAAACTTCGTGTTTGTTCACTAGATATCCGAGTCTACAGTGTGATAGGAGCTGATAGGTTAAGCGAGGGAAACAGACACGCGGCCAATGGACTGTAAAGCAAATCAGCGTCGCCAATGCAAGTTGACCACACATACACGGGTCGGATAAACAATGCGACGTTGGATTGCACTGTTGGGATTCAGACACGCTTCTGATCCCGGACAAACCTGACCGAGTTGACCCCACGCGACGCTGACTCGGAGCGGACGGCGCATGGTGCAATGAGAACTGACTGACTGAGCGAGCAGAACGGACGGAATCGGCAGGTGGAAAGCCCATCAGCGCCGTAGGCGCAAGCTAAGCACATTCGCACGGATCGGATGAACAGTCCAGAATTCGAAATTGGGTGTTGCTAGCTCAAAATCGCTACACAACCATGACGCGTTTCGATGTTCTTTCATCTCTTCAGGCGGAGATAGCAGGCCTCGAACCCGCAACCATTGGAATAGTAGCTGAAACCGTTACCCCTCTGGATACCGGGTCACGATGGGCAGCACTTGGCACAACGGTTAATGACTGAATGGTGGGCCTTTTTGGAATACACGTTGTGTGCTTCATCAGCTACGGTCCCAGTGATCGAATGACCAACGTTCACTTCGATGTGCATCGCGATCTACATTGAGATTGCGCGTCGCAATCCAATCACACAAAGTGTATTCCAAGATGGCCCTCCATTCAGTCCAGAATTCGTTTGTGGTATTGTGAGCAAAGCGCAATCTTTTCCAAACAACCTGATAGTCCAAACAGTTTCGCACAACTGGTGTGCCCCAGCCAACGAACTGACGCAGCTGGTAAGCAAGAGCCAGACACTGAACGTGCGCTTAGTAGAACAGCGATTGCATTTTATGTACTGTATAAAACGACCCTAACTTCCTTAATAGCGATTTTTCGATCGCTACCAAGTTTTGGTTTCGATTCTCGATATAGTTGCTTCATGTCAACGGTAACACAGGAAATCACCATGTTCTTTACGCGTCTGCTGATGCAGTAAGCAACAGGGATCCGAAAGCAATAAGGGACCTCAACTAACCGAAATGTGTTGTCAGGTTCGTCAAAGGAGAAAATGAAACTGTTGAAAACTAAACATAAAAGAAAGAAAAGACAGTAAAACAGCTTGGTCATAAATGTTACATTATGGATGTAATGGTTTCCTCCCGGTGTTCAGCATGGAAAATTGAAAAATGGACGTGAATGTATTTCATCTTTCTCCGAATGCGATGTTACTTTCATGTTAGTCAAAATATCACCCTCGGACGGTAAAGAAGCAGAAGTAGAAACAAACATGAATAATTTGAAACACAGTACGCCCGATTCGGTTATTCTGACATTGATTGGTTGGCCGATTTGATAAATTGGTCGCATATATGTTCCATCACCATGCGACGTAACATGGTCAGTCCGGCGAGGTGCAGTGGAAGATCAAATGCTTGTGGATTTGGTGATTAATGTAATTTTTGTAGAAAGTGGAAGCCACGATTAAACTTCACACAATAATCTGCCTCGACGGGGAATCGAACCCCAAGCCCACAGATTACCGGTCCTCTACTCTACCACTGAGCTACCGCGGGCTGACGATCAGGTGCGCAATTTAACACATGACTTCTGCTTGGTTCGCGACGTATTGCCAATGAGCTCACGGTACCTGTCCTGGTGTTGCAGATTGGCTCACTCACTCGTCATTTCCCAATGGACCGCAGTATCTGTCCTTCTGATGTTCAAAGGGCGATAATAGATGGCTTGTAGAGTTTGTGATTAGTGTAATTTTCGTAGAAAGTCGAAGCCACGATTAAACTTCGCACAATAATCTGCCTCGACGGGGAATCGAACCCCGGGCTCACGGGCCCACGAAAAATACACTAATCACAAAATCTACAAGCAATCTATTATCGCCCTTTGAACATCAGAAGGACAGATACTGCGGTCCATTGGGAAGTGACAAGTGAGTGAGCCAATCTGCAACACAAGGACAGGTACTGTGAGCTCATTGGCAATACGTCGCGAAACAAGCAGAAGTCATGTGTTAAATTGCGCACCTGATCGTCAGCCCGCGGTAGCTCAGTGGTAGAGCAGCGGACCGGTAATCTGTGGGCCCGGGATTCGATTCCTCGTCGAGGCAGATTATTGTGTGAAGTTTAATCGTGGCTTCCACTTTCTACGAAGATCAAATGATTGGTCCCTCTGGGATCCAGCGGCAGGTGGCTTCTGTATGTGACTTATTCGGTTTGCACCCCTTGGCCCCAGTGTTTTTATTCTCGCGGCGGAAGAGGGCGTGCGAGTTGGATTTCGCGTATCTTGTTTAGAACTTCTGCTTCCGATTCGTTGGAGAGTATCCTTTCTGTGGTCTTAGCGCATAGAATTAAGGTAAATGGGCTGCTGCATGAATTGTTAGAGCATTATCATACCTCAAGAATTCCCTTTTTTGTGTCTTTGCTTGAACTAGAATCTCCGGTGTTATTCCGTGGACATTATCTCCCTGCTTTTCCACCTGACCTGAAACTAGTAGTAGCGGATATTGTCTTTTGCAAGCAGTTTTAATTTATGGCATCATGGTCAATATTCTCATTCCTTTATATACCACAGTGCTTTGCAAGTGTTGCAATTTAATTGGTACTCTGTTTTTCGTTCTAGTGCTTCTCGGTGATTCTTTTTGGTTTGACTGTGTTCTTCTCGGGGTGGCGGTTGGTTTGCAGTCAACCATTATGTGATGCTGTACCAACAACCTAACCGTCATTTTAGTTATGTTCTTCATATGAAAGCTATTACCGCATAATATATGCCCACAACTCACTAGTTTGAAAAGATTGTCAAAATCAATCGCTATCAAACATCAACTGAGAAGTACAAGAACGAAAAAACATACTATCGCTGATCTCACGACATTTATTTACACGGGCGCCACGATGCGTGTTGGATTGAAAGGTCCCGTTCCTCACACTTTAGGTGGCATACTTGGCTTTATGGTAGTGTATTTTGTCGATAATTCGACCGTTCAAACTTTGCGCTATCGCAAGCAGATTGTTCATCAAGTTAGTATGGTATTATGCAAGCATACCAGCCACATAAACTGTTTGGCAGTCAGGACGTTTAATCCTCTGCTGGTCCTTATGCCGAGCTTGACGGAACTCCAAATCGTAGAGAAGAACGCTCCCATTGACTCGGTCACTGCATTCACCACGTACCATTTGACCTTGGAGGTGCACACCGGTTTTCCACACAGATGATCACAAAGTATGAACTAAAGTTGCTATCGGCAACCGCGTCGCAAACACTATGAATCAGATGCTCCAGGTCTGACTAACAAAATTTACACTCATCTATGCACTTTCTGTTAGGTTGTTTGGCGCACATCGCTTCTGGGTTTACTCCTCGCGCTTACATGGTTCCAAAGCGTTTCTTTTCTCTCGGCGGTGAGTTGATGTGGCTCACTGTTGACCCGTTGTCGTTTGGCTTCCTAACGCCTTTGTATTACTGACAACCGGTGCAGTAGTGCCTGTGTTTGGTCCAACATATTGGTAGTTAATGTGACCCTAGCTGTTACGTAGAACCGAAATGCTATGGAGATAATTTAGATGACGACCGGACGGCTTAGTTGGAATATTCAACCTTGGCTGTACTTCAGCTATCAAGGAGCGTGCAGATGAACGGCATGTTACTTGGTGTGACTCACATCAGATGTCACCTGTCCTGACACAATGATACTCCGGGTACTTGACGTTGGCTGATTAAGGCGAAATTTTCCACTTGATGATGAACATTAAGCACGTCGGCATTGTAGACCTGAATATGTAGCAACCAGCGCCAAGGGCCGTGACGACACAATAACCAGTAGATTCGTGTCTGAGGGGAAGGCAGGGTAAAGGTGCTGTTCGATGCGTTACATCTTTTCCGAAGGGCCCAGTACACACACCGACAGTGTAAAATACCTAAATCATCGTGCTCATTCAGTGTTATTAAGCTATGTTTAGAGGAAGTAAAAATTTACACGATGCTAGACGATAAATGGACTGATATGAAATTCGTTAGTGAACCTTACTCAGTTTTGTTAAAGCAAACAGCTTGGTGTTCCTTGCTTAACAAAACTATTAACCGACTCCTAACCAAGTGTATGCCATTGTCTTTTCTTATCATCTCTCCAGCTGCTACAATTGTGGTCAGTATGCTTCCCACAAGGCTATATTTTGTCCCATGCAGCCTATGCGGAGATGCTGCTATCGATGCAGAAGTTCTACGCATCTCCTAGCGGATTGTCCCTTTCGGCATTATGCAATCCCACCAACCGAGGTGGAGCCCTCTTCACAGATGACTCAGTCAGATTTTGGACCCCGCGGTTCTGTGCTACGAAGGATATAACATCGGTTCTTACCAACGAGCTGTGAAGCGCTGTTCAAACATCTGGTCATCCTAATCCGTCTACCCCATTTCGCATGCAATGAAATGAGCCCTGTATACACGTACTTCATCTCACACAATGCACCCCGAAATGGCAATGATCTGAATTGACAGTATTAGCCAGTAATCAAGAGCAAGTGTAATAGGGGCTTTTGCACATTTATTCTAAGCTTGGATATGATGATATTTTAATTAGCACATTTTACTGCGGTTTATTTGAAGATACAAGCATTTTATCAAAAGGAAACTACCAGTGTTATTTGGGCGAGATTCGAACCTCATGGAACTGAAGATAATGAATACTTGAGAAAATAAACTTCCTGCAAATCTAGCAGGAAACAACTGATAGCATTTTTACTTGGATACATGATATGCACCTTATAAAAGCCATAGGGTTCAAGAACTCTATTGTTTTCTCTATTTTAGAAATTTCTATTTATTAATGCTGGTCATTATATCAACGGCTTATTGCTATCCATAATCTACCGTCTATTTTGTATCTCTTATGCTATTTTACAGCTTTTTTTAAAGCGCTCCACTTCGTTTAATTTTTCTGAATGACTAGATAAAAGGAGCTGGTTTTCTCCTTTGCAAGAACTTATCCCGTTGATAAATGTAAACGATACGCACCACTACAATTGTTCTTTCTATCGCACATAGGCAACAGAGGGAAAATAAGCACTCATACACGCAAGAGCACTGGGTAACGTAAGCGTGACGCCTAAACGATTCTGTTGTTACTACATTTGGATCCAATTTTCGCAAACGACGCTTACCGGTAGGAGTTTGCTGCCGCTGCTAGGTAGACACGCAATCCCGCGTCCCTCATAATGCCCCAATCGGTTAATTCGTTTGTGCACAATTTCGGTTGGGGATGTAAGCTTCCACTCTGAACGTATTGATTCACGCGGTCCAGAATTGACCACCTGATGTAATGTGAGACAGGGCAAAGCCGTTGTGAGCCAATACACCGTGGATCTTACAGTCTACCCCGACCTGTTCCTGAGCCAAGTTTTACTTCGGTGACCAGTCGCAATATTGTGTTACCTGCTGAAAGATACATCGTCCAAGTTCAGTCCCACTTCCTCAGGTACTGTCACGAACTCAACATATCAAAATAAAAATTCCCTATTCGTTTATTGTAACATACTTCGCCTGAAGGAAACTGGACGCCTCATGACTGTCTGCTATTCCGAAGCCCTGTCAGCGCAAAATTATTGACGGAAGAATCGATGGAAAAAGTGTATTTGGTCCAGTAGAGCAAGCTACATAGTGTCATTTTGAATTTCCTCTGTAACTTATAATCGTACCATCTCCACAGGATCTTGCTAATAAATCTGTGGTTATTATTATTATCATTGAATCACTAACAATTAGCTGTCTCAATCTTGTGCTTCGGATGTTGTATCTGGTAGCTATGGATGCTGCCGTGTGGGCTTCATCAAAATATTACTCGGTCCTCGCACAGAAGAAAGCACATAACGGTTCTGATTCGAACACCTACTCATTGGGGAACTATGCTGCTTCCACCGAGGTATGTCGGATTGATCAAATTGATTCGCACCACCAACTAATCATACTGAGAATAGTGATTAACCTGAGAAACAGGAGCAGGGACGTAGGAAGATCCGATGCAGACGTTAGGAAGCAAAGTGAAGCAAGCCACTAGCACTACCAATCCAAAGGTCTACACCCAGAAGACTACGGGCAACAACCGTCCTTGACCTCTTCATGAGTTTATTCGTGCTACTTGCGCACAACAGTGCCTGATCATCTCTGGGGTTCAGCGAACTAGATTCACATTTAGCCAACAAGCAACGCTGAGCCAGCCAGCTCTAAGCATGTGGAGTCAACGTAATTAGTTCAAGTCCTACAGTCATTTCAAAGCGTGACCACGGATTCCATTGCATAGTACGTATGAAAAGCCTTCCGCATCCCTCACTCGGCGCTGCACTGGATGCGAGCGGATGTCGGCCATCAGATGTATCCAGTTGCCTAGTGCTATTCGGACACAGTAAGTATGCACTAGCCACCCTGCCGCATCATAAACCCTTCCGCTAACCAATATGCATATACTGCACCTTCAAAATGGGTAAAAGGGACTTTGATGAATCACTCAAGCTTTGCAGGTATATGCCGTTATCTCTTCGATGTTTCAACAATCAAAAGAGATTGGGCTACTTGAACAGGTAAATCTAATGATCATTTCAAGCGTTTGTTTACAGTTCATGAGAACCGGCAGTTTGCCAGTTATCTTGTGCTTTATAACCTTGAAATTTGAAGGTATGAAAATGATGTCAAGGGTTGAAGAACTTTCACAACATCACAGTCGCCACCAAAGAGATGTATGTACCACGCATTGTGCCTTTGGCAGTCGATTAACCGTCGGATCCTCCACTCGAAAGAGTAATGAAAATAATGTTACAACGATTTCAATCGCAAATTCCATAAAGGATGCTGAAATGGAGCGGTCTAGTAACAACTAACATTCCGTGACCAATTCAAAGGGCAGTTTCTCGTAGACACTAATAGAGTACTACAGAGTAGTCGAATAGATAGAAATTTCACCAGCGTACTCTTCACGAGCATCGCATGATGTAACAGGCAGAATCAAGGCAACTTTTAAATTCGCTAATACCACTATTATAGGTCGTCTCTGTGAGTACATTAAAGCGTTTGGTGGAGAGTAACAACAGGCCTAGCGAAATCGGCTGAGGTAGCTTGAATGTAACTGCTTAGACGCGCACGCGGATCAGTATGTGAAGGTACTATGAAGCAAGCAAACATTTACAATCGGTGGAGATGAGGCTAGTTCTATGGTAATTCACTTTAAACACCCTTAGTTTCTCCTTAAAATTGGAATAGCGACTGATAGTCGCCAGTAAGGCAGCACTTCCTCAATTCACATAGTACTACTCAACAAGGTGGCCAAACCAGTGAACAGTGAGTCGTTACTATTATTTGGCGGCCAGGAAGGAAGGTTGTAAGAGCAAAGCAGTTTGTTTCTTTTCAGAAACAACAGTTCGTGTGAGATGTACTCTATGATGGAATCATTATTTTACCATCGACTGTGAGCTGCATTGACCGAACTAACGATAAGGACAGTGAATAATGACTTATCATCAACAAAAAACAAGGATTCGGCAGGGTCCTTAGGATGTTTGAAGTGAAATCTAACATATCAAAGGATACGGAATCGGTAGTTTAAGTGACTTCCGATCTAACTGCATCGCCACACAACGGTAGGTTTTAAGGGGAATTGAATGTGTGCACACAATGTAATATGGGGAGCAGTTACAGTTCCCGTAATCCGTGTGAAAAATTAATAAAATGTAAATGCCAACGCTCACACATGTGTCGCTTTCTTGGACCGATGGGATATGTAATTCCAGTTTGGATATATCCCAACGATATTCCACAATGGCAGCGCTTAAGTAACGCAAGGCAGGAAGCAAAAATCGAACACATTCATTGGTAGTGTTAGGGTGACGCACGGACATAAATAGCGATATAGCACAATGTAAAGGTATGAGATCTCTTTTGAATACCGTTAGTGTGGGGGAAGCAACGAGGTAAATGTGGAAGGCGTTGCCACTTTGGCACAGACGAAGTGAAAACAAATTTCCGCAGAATTGCAACCGGCTATGCTGCGTGACCAGCTTTAGTTGGTGACATCTCAGAGTGGTAGTGTGATTCATCTTCAGATGGTGATGACAAGTATGGTTTGGATTCCTCAGGATCAAATAGATCCTTACCGAATGTCTACGCAGGCGTCGGTATTGCCCACACTATACCCCAAGCGTTCTTAGCCCAAGTTGGTAAGCAAGTTGAAATAGTCCCTCCATACATTTCGTCGCACTTCGTTGAGGCATTTCACGTGTGGTGTAGTCGTGCTTTTGCCAGAGCTGCCGGACGTATATTGCGTTTTCCGAATGGAGCATAGTGTACGCATTGAGTATCTGAGAGAAGATGGGAGGATCAAAACGCCCGAATGCCCGCTGCAGAAAGAAAAACTGATGGATGGGATTTTGTATGCTTTCCCGGTCTGAGGTGAACATCCAAGTTCCTCTCTTACTATCACACCTAGGTCGAAGTCAGTAGAAGCGCGCTGTAAAACCCGACCACCCAATTATTGCCACAAGTGGTTAGACGGCGTATGCTGAATACCTTGCAATTGGTGGCATTGAAATGAAGCGGGTTCTGTGTCGCGCATTCGTATCCCCTAACAGGGTCATATGGAAGCGCTACGTGGTCATCCATTGTTTTGATGCCCAGCCATATTTTGAGGCCATCAGCGAATAGTAAGAAATTTTAACTGGCTACTCTCGCGAGTTGGTTTATGTAAATCTGGAATAGGCGTGGAACAGTACTGTGCCCTGTGGCACTTCGCACTGAACATCGACAGGTTCAGAGATGGAGATGCGAAGTCTCCTATTCAGATTTCGTTGAACCATGAAATTACCTATCCACCGGAGAGTTGGGTCACAAATTCTACAGCTCTGATGCTTGTGAATGAGGATGTGGTTATTCAGAAGGTTGAATGGTCTTGAGAAACGTAGAAAAACTGCGTCAACTCCCATACCGCTGTCCACGGGTTCAGTCCAAAAGGAGCGGGCAAGTGGCCGATTTGTGGTGCAAGACTGGTTCTTGTATATGCTATGTTGATCTGGAGCTTTGATGTTGCATTTTCCCAAATAATGCATGGGTGCTTCGGCAATAAAATACTCCATGAGTTTAGAGAGCATCAGTAGGAGTGTAATTGGCCAGCCTTTTTGCTCAATAGCCTACCCGCTCACAGCGGGGAGAAGTCAGGAGTGAGAGTCCACTGTGAGCCGATGACCGATTGCACGGTTCATTCGCCTTTTGTTCGGCGAGCTGCCAAACTGGGGCCCAGTCCACGCAGATATTTAGACTTTATTTGATGAATTACAATGCTTTGTTGAAGCAAAGCAAGGGGAAGTGACTAGATTTAGTTGCGAATTACATCTGCCAAGTCAAAGCGTTGTTAAACGGACGTCTGTGGCTTTCTACGGAGAGAACGCTTGCCAGGCGTAAACTTACCACGTCCTGGAACACTGCCGCCGAATTTTCCGCTAGAAGATGGTAAAACTAACCCACCCAACTGGCGCCACGAGAAACTAATTGGGAAAGCCAGTCAAAGACATATTGATCACGCCGGTACTGCGTAACAGCACTTCGCTGCCGTGCAACCATCACCGGTCACATGCGGGCTAAGGATACCTTGAGGGTCTTGTTGCCGCTAGACAGGCTCGAACCCGCGCCCTAAAATAACAAGCTCGTTACCCTTAGGTTACGGGCTGTCTGAATCAGCTATAAGCCGTAACGGCACTTCGCTGCCGCGATACCACCATCAGTCGCACATGGGCTGACTATACCGTGAGGACACTCACCCCTATGCAAACGCGAACCGGTGACCTTATGATTTCAAGCGGGGCGCGCAGACCATTCGGCCAACTGCCCTCCTTGGGAACTTTCGTGAACAATGAGCATACATCGAAAGCGGTTATACTCTTCCCTTTACGTTTAAGCTACATATCTTTTTGACAAATTTAAGCGTGTCTTTCGAGCGCATCTGATCAGTTCCATCCGGACGGGCTCGATAAGTTCCGCTAGCCATCGCACTAAATTTTGGTATGTCGCGTCTACCATTGAGAGGATTGTACGTAGTGGGGTACCTTCCTTATGAGCTTGCGGTAGGCCATGCATGTCAGGAGATCATGATCCTCGGGGACATAACTGAGTCATGATTTTTGCATTTATCAATCCGGTGTTCACTAGCTTCATCAATCCCCGGAATATTAACTTCTTCATCCGCTCGGTATTGCCGCGGTTTGCCAAATCACGAACTCAACGCTTACAGACTGCAGGAATTGTTTGGACTTCCTGAATGTATTATCGCTTTTTC